GCACTTAATTAGCATGAGGGGGCTTCACAAGAGGAAGCTTGCCACTGCATGGGACTTTCCAGTCTGGGCGGGTTCTGTTACTTCCGTTGTCTTATCAGGCTGTCTCATCAGGGCTTGACACCGGAGGAAGCTGCTAACTGAAATGTTGGTGGCTTGGGTTTGCTTCAGCCTAACAATGGTAAGTCGAGATAACCCATAAACGTGATAGCCAGCTCCTAAACAATGATACGCTGACCCCTAAAGGCTAAATATTTAAAGTTACCATATAAAATACATTTAAATACCAGGCTCATAAAGACATGTACACTTGCAATTTTAAGTCTTTCTATCATCACACAAGTGATAAAACTGTCTGTAATAATCTTCAGTAGTAGTATTTTCCCACTGGGCAAACAGCCTTACTGTTAAAGATTTTTAAACTCTGCAATTTTACACCAGTACTTGATTAAAAACAAAAATTCTGAAACTTAACATCTAAATGCTTGGCAAATAAAAATTACATATTACGACCAAACTCTCTACTGCATTAAGTGCATAAAAACATTCAAGAGGAGGTGGCAGATAAGACAGGAAGGAGCCTTGTAAAAATTTCAATATTTAAGAGGGAAGAAGTGCAAAAGATAGGAGCTTGTGAAAACTTCAAGACAGGAGTTAGCTATCAGAAATAAATGGGTATTTATCTTTGATGTTAAATTAATACTACTTTATGTAAAAAAAAAAAAATCACACTTTTACTAACTCATAGAAACAACATACTTACAGTTATGCGAACACTGAGGAATCATCATTGCAATGTTGAAATATTCAAAGCAAATTCCACACCGCAGCAAATCATCTATTGTCTGAAATGTAGAAATACATATATACATGTCAGAAATATACCATGATTAGAACATCTGCCACACAATTCTTTCTCTGTACTCTAAAAAATAATTTAATTCTTCTTTGTCAAATATGCAAATTCAAAAAACTGCAAAGGGCTTGACAGCAACCACCCATATGATTCTTATACATTCAAATTTCAGGTTACCCAAACCGCTTAGTACACTGTACAGATTCCTGTGCCCTACTGTCAGCCCTTCAGAAAAGGACTACTCTATTCCTGCCCCACTTCCCATGTGTTTCCACCTCTTATCCCAGGCCTCTTCTTCCCCATCCCTTGGCCTACAGTCACTGTTGGGGTAAAAGGTACCAGTAGTCCATAATCACTAACAGGTTAAGAACCAAAACTTAAAACTGTAAAGACAATCATTAGAAATGATCTAGTTAAAAATTCTTAATTCACAAATGAGGAAACTTGTATCCAATGTGAGCACCAATACTGGACATTTCAAGTCAGGACCAAAATTCACACCTCCCTACTTGCAAGTTAGTGCTTCCTGCACTGAATTACACAGTGGAGCCAAATGAGGAAGCCCTGGAAACAGCTGAGAACAGTGACAGCAGAAGGTGGTGAAGGAGTGGACAAACTGTATAGCAGTGTGTCAATCTGGAAACAATCCAAACAGGAAAGGATCTATTCTTGCAACTTGAAATCTTATCACATTACAATGCTATTCCATTGAATAACTTACTAAGCAGATAATAAAAAGAAAAAAACAAAACAAACCCCTGTCATCAGATCAATTCTGACTCATAGCGACCCCCATTGAGTTTCCAAGGCAGTAAATCTTTACGTAAGTAGACTCACCAATCTTCCTTCCAGAGTGGCTCGTGGGTTTGAACCGCCAGCCTTCTGGTTAGCAGTCAAATGCCTTGGGTACTACGCTACCAGAGCTCCCTTTTTTATAGCATGTTGTTGTTGTTACGTGCCCTTGAGTCGGACCGTACTCACAGCAACCCCTCCTTGGGATGCCAAGGCAGTATCACTACGGAAGTAGATTGCCCAACCTTCCTACCGCGGAGTGGCTGGTGGGTTTGAACCACCAGCCTTCTGGTTAGCAGTCAAGTGCCTTAGGCACTATGCTACCAGAGCTCCTTTTTTACAGCGTAAGTATCCCAAAACTAGATGAGAAATTGGCAGACGCATTACAAAAAGCATTAAAATAGTGAAGGGGCTGGCTTTCCAACTTCAATATTCCATGATTTGAATGTGAGCCAAATGTGACTCAATCAACCCCATCATAGAACACTCTCTGGCACTTAAGCTTTATCTATCTATCTACTTAATAAGGACAATAAACAAACCAATAGCACAGCAAGTGAACATGCTCCTGAGCAAATCTAGTAAGAATCCAGAGCCAATCACTATGGTAAACAGAACCTGGTATGCCTTCCCAAAAGCAGAAAGTAGTCATTAAGAATAAACGCTATTAAATGAAATAAATGATTTATTAAAGGCTAGGGCTGAGGCTGACTCCTGATCTATTTGTTTAAAGGAGAAACAGATGAGCAGTTGTTAAAAGAGTTGTCAGAACATGTTAGGGAGGAATTAGGGCATATGTTAGCACAACCCAGTACTAAGTTGTAAGAGAGTAACTAGAACAAATGAAAAAGAAGGTAAAAGAGATTCCTCGATTCCTAGCATGATACTGTTATATGATGCTGTATCCTCCCAAAATCATGGCCGGTGTCGTTCTGGGAAATTTCCAACTAATGTACCGCAAGAGTTCACATATTGCTTCGTACAAAGAAAGAGCTGCCATCGTCGTTGTCACTGTTTACAATAACTGTTTTTCTCGATGTCACTGTTACTGTTGTGGCTGAACCGCAGAATACCCAGCCCCGTAAGAAAGCCAACCTCAGTTCACCATGAAACCTGTCTCTGCAACTTCTCAGGGGAAGAAACTGAGGCCAGAGGTACGCGGCTAGAAAAAAGCAGAGCAGGGTCGAGAATCCAGGCCCAGCTGGCAGATCGCCAACTCGTCCTTTCCCTTCATTTGTCCTCAGCCTTCTGCGGACGCCTGGGCACTCCCTCCCTCTCCGAAGCACTTACCTTCATGACTGCTAGGCCCGGAGGCCACCGGGGCTCGGCGAAGGGGTCCATGGTCACTTCTGAGGAGGCTGGGGCTCCCCCACCCATTGGCCTCGCGCGCTACACAACCACTCGAAAATCCCCGCGCTAGTGCACTACGTCATCAGTCTGAGACGCGCCGGAGGCGTGCGCGGAGCCTGCCGGGAGTAGTAGTAAGCGAGAGAAGCGCAGCCAAAGATGCTCGCACTGCGCACGCACCAGGTTTCTGCTCCGCCTCTCCCCGAGGAAGGGAGAAGATGAGTGATTAAAAATCTTGGACGCCGACCCTGATTAAATAAATAAATAAATATTTAATGGTTATTCAATAATAGAAAAACACAGCCAGAAATAAAAGTAAACCAAATTAAAGCCTTGCAAAATCTTTGAAGGTCCAGGCTCATCCGTCTTCCTTCGGGGTGCCCACCCTAATTACTATATTGATTGATCTGAGCCTGCTTTGAACAGGGCTTTTCGAATTCGTTATTTCATGCCACTCCCCATCCCAACACTGGAAGGAAGGTATTATCATTTTCAGTTTACACAAGGGGAAGATGCAGTCCAAAAAAATGCATGGAATTTCCTTAAGTTGCACAGTAGTACCTACCAACTCTAAATCTAGCCTCTGGGCTTTAAACGTGGAACCCTTCCTATTCCAAAAAAACAAAGTCACTGCCAACGAGCAGACTCCGACTCATAGCTACCCCTCCTTGGGTTTCCGAGGCGGTGTTTCTACAAAAGTAGATTGTCCAGTCTTCCTTCAATGGAGTGGCTGTTGGGATTGAACCGCCAGCCTTCCTCTTCCTATTAGTCAAATTGAAAATGTTCATCTAAAAGTTAATCCTTCTCTTCAGAAATGTTGTTGTTGTTAAGTGCCGTGGAGTCGTTTCCGACTCATAGCGACCCCATGCACAGCAGAACGAAACACTGCCCGATCCCGTGCCAGCCCCACAATCCCTGCTATATATACTTGAGCCCATCATTGCAGCCACCGTGTCAATCCATCTCGTTGAAGGCCTCCCCCTCTTTCGTCGACCCTCCACCCTACCAAGCATGACATCCTTCTCCAGGGAATGGTCCCTTCTTACAACATGACCAAAATAGGTGAGACAAGTCTGGCCATTCTTGCTTCCAAGGAGCATTCTGGCTGCACTTCCTCCAGGACAGATCTGTTAGTTCTTTTAGCAGTCCATGGTACTTTCAGCATTCTCCACCAGCACCACAACTCAAAAGCATCAACTCTTCTTCGGTCTTCCTTATTCATTGTCCAGCTCTCACGTGCATACCAGGCGATTGGAAATATCATGGCTTGTGTCAGGCGCACCTTAGTCCTCAAGGAGATATCTTGCTCCTTAGCACTTGAAACAGTTCCTTCGCAGTTGACTTTCCCAATGCTACACGTCGTCTAATGTCCTGACTGCTGCTTCCGTTGGTATCGATTGTAGAACCAAGCAACGTGAATTCCTTGACAACCTCAATCTTCTCTCCATTTCTTGTGATGCTGCTCATTGGTCCAGTTGTGAGGATTTTTGTTTTCTTTATGTTGAGATGTAATCCATACTGCAGACTGTATTCTTCAACCTTCATCAGTAGGTGCCTTAAGTCATCCTCACTTTCAGCAAGCAAAGTTGTATCGTCTGCATATCTCAGGTTGTTAATGATTCTTCCTCCAATCCTGATACCACGTTTTTCTTCATATAGTCCAGCTTCTCGGATTATTTGCTCAGCATATAGATTGAATAAGTGTGGAGACAGAATACAACCCTGACGCACTCCCTTCTTGATTTTAAACCATGTAGTGTCCCCTTGTTCTCTTCAGAGATAACCACTGTTAACTTTGACTTATGTTGTTGCTAGTTGCCATCATGGAGCTCTGATGGTGTAGTACCTAAGGCATTTGGAGGTTCAAACACACCAGCTGTTCCTGGGAAGGAAGACTGGGCAATCTACTTCCATAGAGATACTGCAAGAGGGGTCGCTATGAGTCTAATCGACTGAAGGGCAGTGAGTTTTTTTTTTTTTTTTTTTTTGCTTTAGTTGCCATTAAGTTGGCTGACTAATGGAGCCCTTATGTATAACAGAAGAAAATGTCACTGGGTTCTGTGCCATCTTCATGATCATTCGTAACGCAGACACACAGGCCTCCAGAGATTTCCTATGCAAACACAAACATAGATACATTTCCCGCACAATGTTATTATATTAAATGCATAACTGTCAACTTGTTTTTCTGTGTGTGCTTGTTTACTTAACCATAAGTCTTGAGCTCTATCTTAGTACATAGAGATTTCATTTATTTTTAATAGGTGCGTAATCCATAATACCAAAAAAAATCAAACTCAATGCCTTCGGGTCTATTCCGACTCATAGCGACCCCTCCTTGGGTTTCCCAGGAGGTATCACTAGGGAAGTAGATTGCCAAGTCTTCCTTCCCAGGACTGACTGGTAGGTTTGAACGGCCAGCCTCTTGGTTAGCAGTCAAATGCCTCAGGCACTACCCCACCAGAGCTCCCAATCCATAATACAGATTTATTTATCTACTCCCGTATAGAGTATTGAATTGTGTACCCTTAAAGTATGTGTGGAAATCTTAACCTCTGTACCTATAAATAAAGTTCTGGTGGCTCAGTGCCTAAGGCATTTGTCTGCTAACCAGAAGGTTGGGGGTCCAAACCCACCAGCAGCTCCGTGGGAGGAAGATGGAGCAATCTACTTGTGTAAAGATTTACCACCTTGGAAACGCAGTGCCCCCACTGGCCAAAAGTCAGAATCGATTCTATGGCAGTGGGTTTGGTACCTGTAAGTACGTAAATAAAAACTCACTGCCCTCTAGTCGGATCCGACTCATAGCGACCCCTCCTTGGGTTTCCGAGGTGGTATTACTAGGGAAGTAGGTTGACCAATCTTCCTTCCCAGGAGTAGCTGGTGGGTTTGAACTGCCAGCCTTCTGGCTAGCAGTCAAATGCCTTTGGCACTATGCCACCAGAGCCCCCAAATATGGAAATAGGGAGTTTCTTTTACTATGTTAATGAGGTCATACCAGTGAATGACCCAAAAAAATCCACTGCCATCAAGTAGATTCCGACTTACAGTGAGCCCCATTGGGTTTCCAAGGCTGTAAATCTTCACACAAACAGATTGCCCCATCTGCCTTCCACAGAGTGGCTGGTGGGTTTGAACCACCAACCTTCTGGTTAGCAGTCAAATTCCTTAGGCACTGAACCAGCAGAGCTGCTTTGTGTCTCTGCTAGTTCTTGGTAAATCTGTAACTAAGATAAGGAAACATATTTCAAATGTGTTAGAATGGATACTTTATTAAACAACTCTCATAATGTAACAGGCAAACTTTCTAATTACCTTTAACTTTGTAGATTTTGTCATTCTTCCTACCCTACTTCCACAAGCCTGTGAACACAAATCCTTTTTAAACCCTTAATGCAATTCGGAGCAGTTTAACATCTGGCATGGATGTCTGTAAATGTCTCCCTATTTCGAAATAATTTTACTCCTTCAATAATATTTATTATTATTTTAATTTCTAGCTGAGTGTCAGTCTAGTAGTTTTTCACTGAGACACTATAGAGTCACACTTTGAATTCTGGCTTCAGCCTCCTGAACTGTGAGGAAATAAACAAGTTTTTTAAAGCCACTAACTTGAGGTATTTTTGGTAGAGCAGCACTCCAAAATAAAACCAAACGCACTGCCATCCAGCGGCTTCCGACTCATAGCAACCAACAGCGTGTTTCCGAAGCTATAAATCTTTACGAAAGTATATCACCCGATCTTCCTCCCACAGAGCGGCTGACTGGTGGGTTTGAACCTCCTGATTAGCAGTCAAGTGCCTTATCCACTACACCACCAGCACTAAATCAAAAATACCTAATTCACTGGCGTCAAGTCGGATCATAGCCACCCCTCCTTGGGTTTCTGAGGCAGTATTACTACGGAAGCAGATTGCCCAACCTTCCTTCTGAGGAGTGGCTGGTGGTTTTGAACCACCAGCCTCTGGTTAGCAGTCACATGCCTTAGACACAAGGCCACCAGAGCTCCTAGCACTAAATGACTCTCCAAAAATTCTGCACCAATAGGTTGACAATTTCACCAAGAGTATGAGAGTGCTTGCTGTCCAAATGTGAAGAACTGACTAGTTCACCATCCAGTCTGCTCAACTCAGCATTTATTCACTGATTTATGGGGGCCCCTATTGCATCATGTCTCATGGACAGCAAGTAAGAACAGATATATTGCTAAGGGGAGAATCCTGCAGCTTGCCATTGTCTCTCTGCGTGGTCCATTATTGTAAGTGCCGACCACGGGCCAGGCACTTGAGCTTCCCTGTGAAGCAGGCAGAGGTAAGGTTATAACCTTCTTACAGATAAGGACACTGAGGCTCAGAGAAGCTTTAGCTTCACTCCTTTAGGATCTCTTCAAGAGGAACTATAAGCCAAAAAATGTGGGCCTGTGCCAGGATCAATGTTGGGTCAATTCAGTCCTACTGAGAAAAGAGAAGAGTTTAATCACTTATGAATAAGCATGGAGCAGGCAGAGTTTCAGAATACTCTAAAAGTCAACCTACTCTCAGTAGGCAAATATGGGGTTAATATACATTGAGCTAAAGCTTATGATCATGTGTGCACATTTCATTCCTAAGGATCAGGACTCTGTAACCCATGAGAAGGATAACGAAAGGCTGCTAAGTTATGACTGCAAGCCTTATCTCTTAGTTCTGGAAGACATCAACACCAGGTGAATTCTATTTTTCTCTCCTTGGAATATCTCAGGCTATCGTCTTGGCATTGGTTGGTTTTGTGCCTCTGGGTCAGAGTGCCTTTGCCCAGACTATTTTGTACATCCTCAGAACCTTTGGCCCTTGATTTTCCCAGCTTGCCTCCTAATACATTTAAAAAAAAATGAAAAAACCGAAATCACTGCCTTTGAGTATTTCCCAACTCATAGCCACCCTCATTAGGTTTCTGAGGCTGTAAATCCTTATGGAAGTAGATTACCCCATCTTCCTTCCATGGAGTGGCTGGTG